GAGGCACCCATCACCCCTTTCCTGGACCTTGGACCTGAACCATCCTATTGCTCTGCCCCCAGCCTTACCTCCCCTTCATCTCCTCCTACTCTCTCCCTCCCTCATTCTACTCCTTGATGTTTCTCACACAAACTAGGATGTTCCCCAGATACCTGTGCAACTTTTTCCTTCATCTCTCCTCAGTCTTGATTCAACTGTCACCTTCTCAGTATGGTCTCTCCTGTCACCCTGTTTAAAACTGCAACCCCCCACCTTGCCAGCCCACTCCCTGCTCTATACTACTCCAGAACACTATTCTCATCTAACATACTCTATACAGTAGGTTACCTATGTATTCTGTTTATGGTCTTCCTCTCTCTACTTGAACATTAAGTCCCATGAGAACATGCCGTATGACCCGGCTCTAGAACAATCCCTGGTGCACAGTGGGTGTCTGATATGTATCCGTTAAATGAATGAATGGCTTAAGTGTTGATTACTATAGGGATATTCCTAAACAGTGCTGAGCCAAGGTTCTATGCAGGTGAGGGGCTGGGCCTGGAACCAGCGTGAACCACCGCTGGGCCCTGTCTTCAAGGGCTAGACAGACAAGGCGGGAAAGCCTATGCCACGTCTCAAATTAGCACTTCCAGATGCACGCTACATGAGCTCCAGGGTAGAGACATGAGGCTGGGCAAGGGTATTACTAAGATCATGAAGGAGCTGTTTCTGATTTTAGATAATAGAATCAGAATCTATGCAGGATTGCTTCCTTAGTGCTCCAAAGAAAACACTTTAGAATGAATAAGCTTGCCAGCTCTGTCATGTCAATGTCAATACCTATTGCTGTTTCTGAGTAGCTCTAAGTTGAAATCACAGAGTTTTCAAATGACTGAAGTAATAGCATAACTGGTCTGGAGGGAAAGATTAGGTTTTATATTGTGAATAGGGTGAGGATATAAGAAATGCCTTAACAACATTATATACTATATAATCATTATTGGATGACCCGAATCAGAAGGCTGGCAGAATTCTCACTCAGTAACTCTGCTTGGACAGAATTCCCACTTAGAGCATAAAACCTTCTTTCAGAATTTACATACTTAAATTATATTTATATAAATTATATATTTAAATATTATATTTAAATGAATTGAGGATTAGCGATTAGCCTGTGGGGCACAAAACAAAATGATTCATTCTTTCCATTTCCCCTTTAAAGAAATGAATAATACTACGGAGACAGTTACTAGCTCAGACAGAGCAGGTCATCAAAACACTTGAATCACCCTAAATTATCGGTGGGACACTAAGCAGAACAGAGACAGAGACATAATATGAGATAATTTATTTCATAAGAAAATATTAATTTTCTCATAATCAAATTATTCAGATTTACGTTAAAATAACAACTATTGAGTACTGAATATATGCCAGCCACACAACTGAGTATTTTTCACATTATCTTAATCACCTCTAATAACAAACGAGGTAATGACTAATATCTCCAATTTCCAGAGGAGGAAACTGAGGCTTGTAGGGAATACACAATTTGCCTACATGATAGAGCTTGATAGTACCAGAATTCAAATCCCAAGGACTTTTCACTCCAGGCTCTGTACTCATTCTACCATTCTATGGAAGCAAAGAATAAGCCTACAAGAATTATAGTGAAAGCCGTGAAAATGTTCCTAGTGGTTTTTTAGTAGGGGATAGAGGATTTTCCTGTGAAAATCGAAGATATTATTTTCAGGAAGCATGTAAGGTGTCACAGAAATTAACCAAGATGGTCACCTAACTATTCAATCCCTTCATCTTGTGAACAAGAATTTGAGAAATGTTTGGTTCTTAGCATTTCCTTGTCCATGAAAAGAGTGAACTTCCACTCCTGATAAAGATGACCTTTATTACATTTCCCCTCATGTGCTGTATCTTGAAAAATCAGACTTCAAGCTGGCTCATAAAAATCTTTGCCCCTTATTTCTATAATCAAATATTTTAAAGTGTCAGGGCTACTAAATTATAGTAGTGACTGAACATCTCATTTCATTATTATTTCTTTAAAATTTTTTTAGAACTAGAGATGAGATCAGGCCAGTCTCAAACTCCTGGACTCACTCATTCCTGCCACCTTGGCCTTCCAAAGTCCTAGGATTACAGGTGAGAGCCACTGCACCTGGTCAGGGACCAAACATTTCAATGACTATAATCAGAAAATGATGTTTTGTCAGGATAGTTAATAAATTTCACAGTTTTTTTCTTTAAAGTTCACGTGCTGAAAAGTCCAGAAGGGAGGCTGCATCAGAGCTCCTGTGATTTTTCTGGATCAGTTAAGGCAGTTATAAAATAAACTCTTACTATCATGATCTAGCAAGGGTTTATGAATAGACTCAGTGCCACTGTTATAAGTCACTGGAATTTCACTGCCAGTTAAACAAATCAGCCCTTACAGACTACACAAACAGAAGTATGATTTTCCACTCAGGCCCAGTACTCTGAAGAAAAAGGAAAAGGAAAGGATCCCTGTTAATGGGCACATGGGGGGTGGTCTAGGTTTGAGACTTCTCAGACCGGAAGCAGGACTGCCCTTTGTTGCCATCTGAGGGAGCAAATATCCAGGAAGATTTCAGCTGGACACTTGATTTTTAAGTGGTGACTTTCCTTTCTGGAGAAAAGTACTCAAACCAAGCTCTTGGGGCTCACATACATTAAAATTGGAGGAAAGTGCCCATCTGAGACCAAAGGCCATGTCTGCAAAATGGGTATGTACTTCTCCTTGACCCTGAAGACGTATTCATGCAACCGATTCCAAAGGCCAGGGAACAATTGCTTAAAATCTTTTCCAAACCAGTCTCTAGTGAATTGCATGCTGACCGGTGATGTGCAACACTTGGGTAACAAGTGAGTATCTCTGGAGAGCCCCATGCTGAAAAGGCAGGATAACTCCACTTTCACAGGGAATCAGGAGGGAGGCACAAGCCAGTGTTTACCCTGCAAAGTCTTTTTTTTTTTTTCCTTTTAGACAGGGTCTTACTCTTGTTGCCCAGGCTGGAGTGCAGTGTTGCGATCATGGGTCACTGCAGCCTCCACCTCCCTGGGCTCAGGTGATCCTCCCACCTCAGCCTCCTGAGTAGCTAGGAGTATAGATGTGCACCACCACGCTAATTTTTGTACTTTTTTGTAGAGATGGAGTTTTGCCATGTTGCCCAGGCTGGTCTCCAACTCCTGGGCTCAAGCAATCCTCCTTCCTTGGCCTCCCAAAATGTTGGGATTATAGGTGTGAGTCATCTTTTTCTTTCCTTTTTTTTTTTTGGTAGATTCTTGGTCTCTCACCCAGGCAGGAGTGCAGTGGCACAATCTTGGCTGACTTCAACCTCTGCCTTCTGGGTTCAAGCAATTCTCCTGACTCAGCCTCCTGAGTAACTGGGATTACAGGCGTGAGCCACCTCGCCCTGGCCCTCTCTCAAAGTCTTCAAAAAGAGCTTTAACAATTAATCCTCGACTCTTATCACTAGGAAAACAAACAAAGCCATCTCTTCTCTTTGGCCTAAAGGAAATCAAGTCGTTCTTTGTAGCATATGCTATTTAAATATGGTGGAGTAGGATAAACTTTCCCTTAAAAATGTCCAAAACCGAAGGAAAAAAAATTCCAAAACCACTTGGCACTTGTTGGGGGAAATAGTCAAGATTTGCTTCTCTACTCTCCTTTCCTCCTACAAATAACCTCTGCTAGGGTCATTCCAGGATGTTATTTATTTACTAGAAACCTGACTTTCCTTTGCACAAGGTTCTGGAGAATCCAATCTGACCCCAACAATCCCATTAACTTCCAAAGGCCATTTCCCTGCCCTATTCCCACCCTAAGGGGAGGGGGCGGTTCGGAGGGGAAGCAGACAACAGCATATATTCTGAGATTTAGGAGCAGCAACTGGAGAGGAAGGTACTCGAGTTTGGTAGGAGACAAGCTGTCCCCACTTGCCTTTTCAGCAAACACAGCTGCAGTTTCCAAAGGGAAGGTGGAGCCTGCTGAGGAATCCACATTCCTCAGAGGGTGCAACAGCCCTCACCTGCTGAGGAGCTATCACGGGAAAGGAGATAGATATGGCCCTAATCCCAAGGAAGCGCATCCCCGGGCCAGAGCTAGAAACACACAACCTTGGCAAAAAATCAGAATCTAAATAACTCATACCTCTGAGCAATGGCTCAGACATCCACCTGGTCCAGTGATCTGTGAGGGGTGGATCACTCAAATACACACTTGTTTAAAAACAGGCAAGGATGGCTTAAACATTATTTTAAATACAAAAACAACGTGGAGAGCAAGGAAGGCAGGAGGGGAGGCGGCTGAGTTCTCTTAACTCTCTTCCCCCGTGACCTCCCGCGGGCCACAATGGCACATCCCAGAATTCAGGCACGAATGTGGCAGCTTTTCAGAGCCCGGGTGCAGGCAGTCGACGCTCGCCGCGTGGGAAGGCACCGTTCCACGCACTGCCCATGGTGAGCGGCGACAGCGTTCTCAGCCTCCCTCCCCCAAGGGTCCGGCCCATCCCGGAGGCCAAGGTGCCTCTTCCAGTTCGACGGAGAACGGTAGTCCACACTCAATCTCTGTCCGGGCAGCGTGGTGTGGGGGTGAGGAAGGTGGCGGTGTTAGGGGGAGATACGGTGCGGGATTAACAAAGAAAAAAATCGAACCCTGTTTTCAAACGAGCAGAACCAAGAGCTACTTGCTTCCCTTTCGACTCCCAAGCCCCTTTGATCATTTTGGGTAGAGCAGGAACCAGCAGCTCAAGGAGCACTCAAATGGGAGTCCCTGAGGAGCTTTGTTCTTATTGTGCAGTAATTAGAGCGCTTGAGGGCGGGGGAGGGAAGGCCCCGCGGGGGACTCGAGGCTAAGGCCGAGGGGGCATTGAGGGACCCTGCATGGAGTGCGCCAGCGCCAAGCCCACCCTCACAGCCGCACGCGGCCTGGGCGCAGAGAGCGCGTGAGGGTGCGCTCATCGCCCACCCGCCGCGCCGCTCACCTAGCACCACCGCGGCCACGGTGGACAGTAGCAGCCAGTTATTCTTCAGGAACCGCTTCCACTCGCATCCCTTCCTCGCCGGTTTCCCCATGGCTGTCGCCGCTATTGTGCCCTGGGCTCGGCCGTGAGCGCGTGGGCTGGGCGACCCGGGGACTGCTGGCTGCTTGGCGGCGCGGCGAGATGCGGGTGCACAGGGGAGAGGTGAGAGCTGGCCGCTGCAGTCGCCGCGGTCACCACCGCCGTTGCCGCCGCCACCCGGGATCGCGCACCGCGCCTGCCGCCCTGCCAGCCCGGTGGTTTTGCGTGGCAGGCGCGCCCGGCTCCTCCTGCCGCCGCTGCGCTCTGCGGCGCCCGGGCCAACCAGCGAGGAAGGAGGGAGGAGCGGCGGGCCCGGGAAGGAGGGTGGGTGCGTGCGTGGGGCGCCTGGGGTCCCTAGGGAGCAGGCGTGGGAGGGCGCCCAGCGCTGCGGCAGGAGCTGGGGCAGCCTCTCCGGGAATCCTGAGTCCCGCCCCACAGCCTTCCACTGGAGTCTGTCTCGCTTTCCACGCCCCACTCATGCTAGGTCTTCGGGTTCAGGGTTTTCTTATGTCCCTAACCCAGAGAGGCGGAGCCACTGCCCTCCTTGGCGTGGGCTTCATCCTGCACGTCTCCCTCTTCGTTCTCCACACCAGCTATTTCCAGTGCCAGCACCCTAGAGAACGGGTGCCCTTTCGAGTTGGGGGAAGCTGATTCTGCCTTGGGTCCCTCTTGCCCCGCTACGCAGGCTGGGATGTGCCAGCAGCCGCGAAAGCCTGAAGCCTCTGGGAGGAGAGAAAGGAGTCCTGGGGCAGAACAGGGCTTTGGAAACTTTCACGCGGAGCCTCCAGTGCCCTCACAGGGATTATTAATTCTCCTCTTCGAGTCGCTGGAGGTGATTTGTCTGTGGACACTGGGCTTGGAAGTGTTCCCTGCACAAGGAGATGGTGATTTCTCTTAGAACTTTACTTCCGCTCCTTGTGACCACAGGCCCTGGAGCATGGAGGCTTGGTGCAGTAATTAGGACTGAGAACCGGACCCGGGAGCTGTTCTGGGGAGAAAGTGGGCGGCCCATCCCCTAAGGTCCAACGGATTGGAAAGGCAAACACAGGAGAAACTAGGTTAGTGGTGCCAAATATATTTGGTGTTGCTAAGTGAATTTCTGATTCTCTTCCATTTTCTACCCAGTTCACTCTCACATATACAAACTCTTTCCCTCCGTATACCGAATCAGTACCTCCGCAGCTGTAAGCGGTCATCTCATCAGCTTTCCTAAAATTAGCCCGGAACTCTTTTTGCTATTGTAGAATCTACTCTGATTGTGGGTAGGGAGAATTTCCCCTACTAGATTTTCTGATGACTAAATCCTCACAATTTGAGCTTCATTCCTTTGGTGTAAATTGATAGAAGCATCTTTTAAGCGATAATAGATTAAGATTTACAACCTTGTAGACTTTAGTATGAATGAGTTTATCAGCTCTTTCCAGAAAGCAAACTTTGACAGAAAGGTTAGGGGGATTTTAAGGTCTTTGGGTGTCTGAGGAAGATCTGAAGAAATGTCAGAAGGGGGGCCGGGCGCTGTGGCTCACGCCTGTAATCTCAGGACTTTGGGAATCTGAGGCGGGCGGATCACGAGATCAGGAGATTAAGACCATCCTGGCTAACACAGTGAAAACCCGTCTCTGCTAAAAATACAAAAAAATTAGCGCGGCGTGGTGGCACGTGCCTGTAGTCCCAGCTACTTGGGAGGCTGAGGGAGGAGAATCGCTTGAACCTGGGAGGCGAAGATTGCAGTGAGCCGAGATCAAGCCACTGCACTCCAGCCTGGGCGACAGAGTGAGACTATCTCTAAAAAAAAGGAAAAAAAAGAGAAAAAAAAAGAATTAAAGAAATGTCAGAAGGGAAACTATCAAGAAAGAGAGAACAGTTCCGGGCACTGTGGCTCACACCTGTAATCCCAGCACTTTGGGAGGCGAAGGCAGGCAGATCACTTGAGGTCAAGAGTTCGAGACCAGCCTGACTAACATGGCAAAGTCTCGTCTACCAAAAATACAAAAATTAGCCAGGCTTAGTGCCATGTGCCTGTAATCCCAGCTATTTGGGAGGCTGAGGCAGGAGAATCACTTGAACCCAGGAGGTGGAGGTTGCAGTGAGCCAAGATCACGCCACAGCACTCTAGCCTGGGCAAACAGAGGGAAATCCTATCTCAAAAAAAAAAAAAAAAAAAAAAAAAAAAAAAAAAAAAAGCGCACGAGAGAACAGACTTGTCCCACAGTAAAAAACAGCTGGAAAAAACCCAAATGTCCAACATAAATGGAATGGTAAATATATTATGGAACTGCCAAGCAACAGTACCTTATGCAGCCTACATAAAGGAAGTTTATGAAGTTTTTAACAGCATGGGATAGCACATGTTATAAATCTATATTTATAAAGGGAAGAAAGAAATACTAAAATTGCATATACAATTTGATCACATGTATGTAAAATAAACATATTGGCTGGGTGCAGTGGCTCACACTCATAATCCCAGAACTTTGGGAAGCTGAGACAGGAGGACTGTGTGAGCCCAGGAGTTTAAGACCAGCCTGGACAACACAGTTAGACCTCTGTTTCTACAAACATTAAACCAACCAACTAACAAGCAGATGAAATAAAACCATGTGCTTAGAAAAAAAGACCAGAAGAAATATGTCAAGATTTTAACAATGGTCATCTTTGCCTTCTATCTTTTGTATTTCCAAAGTGTCTACCATAGAGCTGGGAGTGTTGGCTCACACTTGTATTCCCAGCACTTTGGGAGGCTAAGGCAGAAGGATCACTTGAGGCCAGGAGTTTGAGACCAACCTGGGAAACTTAGTGAAATCTTGGCCCTACAAAACTTAATAAATAAATAAATAAATAAATAACCTGGGAATGATGGCACATGCCTGTAGTCCCCGCTACTTGGAAGGCTGAGGTAAGAGGATGGCTTGAGCCCAGGAGTTTGAGGTTGCAGGGAGCTATGATTGTACCACTGCACTCCAGCCTGGGTGACAAGAGGCCTTACATCACCCATAGCACTTTCACACTGGGAGGCCAAAGCCCTTGGTCCCCTGAAGGTTTGCTTCAAAATCACTGACAGGCAGATTCATTAATAGAAGAAAAGGCATACCAATGTATTTAACATACACACAGGAGCCTTCAAAATGAAGACCTAGCCTCCCAATGAGGTACAGAAGTTTGTATACCATCTTGAGGTTACAGAGAGAAGCGGGGCTTGAATCATGGTAAAACAGGTTGTGGGAGGTGGGGAGAACAGGAATTGCTGAGGGGATTAGGAGGGAGAATGAATGGATCGCTGAACAGAGATTAATTTGTGAATAGTTCTCTTTGATAGTGAAAGTGTCTGTTCAGGTGTGGTTACATTCTTGGTCTTACAGGAAGGGGAAGAACAAACAATTACTTTCTTTGATGGGTCTGAATCTTAGGCAGATAAAGGAACTTCCACTTCTTTGTGAGAGACCTTGAGGTTTCTCCATGTCAACATGTCAAAATGCCATATTTTGGGGTGTTGGATTCTGAGCCCAACAACACCTAAAGCCCCTATAGTGCATACTTGTTTTATGTTCATTTAAATTATGCATTGAAAATAGTGCAATATAAAAGATTTTAAAAAGTTCAATATATACAAACATTTTGAAATAATCAAAATCTCCCCGACTAAAAGCAAAAGTCGAGCCAGGTGCGGTGGCTCACGCCTGTAATCCCACCTCTCCTCTTTGGGAGGCCAAGGCAGGTGGATTGCCAGAGGTCAGGAGTTTGAGACCAGCCTGGCCAACATAGTGAAACCTCGTCTCTGCTAAAAATACAAAAAATTAGCTGGCCGTGGTGGCAGGCACCTATAATTCCAGCTTCTCGGGAGGTTGAGGCAGGAGAATTGTTTGAACCCAGGGAGGCGGAGGTTGCAGTGAGCCGAGATTGCGACATTGCACTCCAGCCTGGGCAACAAGAGCAAACAAAACTCCGTCTCAAAAAAAAAAAAAAAAAAAAGCAAAGGCAGGAGTCTCAAAAGTTCAACGCTGGTAGTACAATCCCCTGATGGGTTCTTGCCTGCCACACAGGTAGAGCTGATTCACTGAGACACTGGTATTGTTGTAAAGATGGAGCTTAATTAATACAAAGCTAGTCACATGGGGAGACAGGAGGTTATTACTCAAATCAGCCTCCCTGGAAATTTGGAGGCTGGAGTTTTTAAGAATAACATGGCAGTCAGGGTTTAGGGAATAGATTCTGCTGGTTGGATGAAGATGAAATCACAGGGGTGTGGAAACTGGTCCTTATGCAGAATCAGTCTCTGGGGTGGGGCTACAGGACTGGTTGATTTGTGGATCTGATTGTGGTCAGCCAGTCCTCAGAAATCCAAAAGTCTGAAAAACATCTCAGAAAACCAATCTTAGGGCTGAGCACGGTGGCTTACACCTGTAATCCCAGCACTTCGGGAGGCCAAGGCGGGTGGATTACTTGAGGTCAGGAGTTCAAGACCAGCCTGGCCAACATGGTGAAACCCTGTCTCTACTAAAAATACAAAAATTAGCTGGGCATGGTGGTGAGTGCCTGTAATCCCAGCTACTTGGGAGGCTGAGGCAGGAGAATCGCTTGAACCCAGGAGGTGGAAGTTGCAGGGAGATGAGATTGCTTTACTGCACTCCAGCCTGGTCGACGGGAGTGAAACCCTGTCCCCCCGCCACCCCCATGCCAAAGAAAAAAAAAAAGGAAAAAGAAAACCAATCTTAGGTTCTACAACATGTGATGATGTTATCTACAGGAGTACATTGGAGAAGTTACAAATCTTGTGTCCTCTGGAACAATGGTTGGTGATCATTTACGCCTACATCTTAGCAGAATTCAGGCTCCCTTCATAATCCTGATCTTTTGTCTTTTCATTGGTTCTATAAAGACGATTCCTGTCCTCCAATGAGGAGGGGATAGTTTTGGGAAGGGCTATTACTATCTGTACTTCAAGGTTAAACTGTAACTTCCTCCTAAAGTTAGTTTGGCCTACACTGGGTACAGTGGCTCACGCCTGTAATCCCAGCACTTTGGGAGGCCAAGGTGGGTAGATCAACTGAGGTCAGGAGTTCAAGCCCAGCCTGGCCAACATGGTGAAACCCGTCCCTACTAAAAATACAAAAGTTAGCCAGGTGTGGTGGCAGAGGCCTGTAATCCCAAATACTCAGGAGGCTGAGGCAGGATAATTGCTTGAACCCGAGAGACAGAGGTTACAGTGAGCTGAGACTGTGCCACTGCACTCCAGCCTGGGTAACAGAGCAAGACTATGTCTCAAAGAAAAAAAAAAAATTAGCCTAGCATGGTGGCACATGCCTGTGGTCCCAGCTACTCGGTAGGCTGAGGCAGGAGAATTGCTTGAACTTGGGAGGCAGAGGTTGCAGTGAGCCTTAACCATGCCACTGCACTCCAGCATGGGTGACAGAGTGAGACTCTGTCTCAAAAAAAAAAAAAAAAAAAAAAAAACTTAGTTTGGCTTATGCCCAGGAATGAACAAGGATAGCTTACAGGTTAGAAGCAAAGTAGAGTCAGCTATGTCAGATTTCTCTTACTGTTATAATTTTTGAAAAGGCAATTTCAGTGGGCCAAGTGGATTTTAAACTGTATTTATACTATTGCTACATAGAAGTTCCATTTTAGCTGGTAATAACAAACAAAAACAAACAAACACATACAAAGCACTTATATACCAGGCACTCTTCTAAGCACTTGGCCCAAATTAATTCACTTGATCCTCTCAGTATCTCAGTGAGGTAAAGATTATTGTTTCCTCATGAGGTTGTTGGAAGAATCAAATGAAATATTATGGCTTATCATCCTTATCTTACAGCTGAGGAAACTGAGGCACAAAAAGATTCAGCGCCTTGTCTAAGTTTCCCCTTTTAGGAGGAGAAAGGGTTGAGCCAGATGGTCTGGCTCTGGAATTTGTGCATTTAACTAACACCTGTTTTTTTTTTATTTTTTATTTTTCCCGACACTGAGTCTCACCCTGTTGCCTAGGCTGCAGTGCAATGGCACTCAGATCTTGGCTCACTGCATCCTCCGCCTCCCAGGTTCAAGCGATTCTCCTGCCTCAGCCTCTTGAGTAGCTGGGATTACAGGTGTGCACCACCACACCCAGCTAAATTTTTTGTATATTTAGTAGAGATGGAGTTTCACCATGTTGGTCAGGCTGGTCTCAAACTCCGGACCTCGTGATCTGCCCACCTTGGCCTCCCAAAGTGCTAGGATTACAGGCATGAGCCACCGCACCCAGCCACCAACACCTCTTATGTTAGGAACAAATATAGAGTTGTTACAAAAAGAACTAGCTGAGTTACATGTTGTATTTTGTGCAAGGTCTTTAAGAGTCCATTCACCTGTATCCAGCAGACACTTGGGTCTGTAATGTGCTGTGCTCAGTAGCGCACTAAATACATTTTATGGGGCAGTGGTTGGACTCCTGCATCGTCTGTAACTGCTGCTGGCACCCAATTCTATGGCATTTCTCTGCCTAAAGCAAAATACAGGATATGAAGCATCACTTTAGGGAGATGTCTAGTGATACTGGTCTTTAACTTCAATTCTTTTTTACTTTATTGTCTTCTAATAGTCATGGACACAAATGATCTTAAATTGAACAAAAGTTGAGAGGCATTTCCCTTGTAAGCTCTACTTTGAAGAACTTGGTCATTC